TACTATTTGGGAATTGAAGTATGTCAAAATTCTCAAAGGATTACACTTAATCTTTCGGCATATGCAAGAAAGATTTTAGACAAATGCGACATGAAAGATTGCAACCCTTCACAAATTCTGATGGAACCTCGTCTAAAACTGAGTAAGGAAAGCACAAGTCCACCTGTAGAAACAACTTTGTACCAAAGTATTGTTGGCAGTTTAAGATATCTACTGCACACGCGCCCAGATTTGACATTCTCTGTTGGCATGGTGAGTAGATACATGGAAAGGCCCACAACTGAGCACATGGCCACAGTGAAGCACATATTACAGTACATGAAAGGAACTTTAAACCTTGGTTGCGTTTATGAGAAGAAGAAAGGAAGCTTGGAACTGATCGGTTACTCAGATAGTGATCTAGCTGGTGATACTAATGATAGGAAAAGTACCTCAGGTTTAATATTTTTCCTTGGGTCAAATCCTATTAGTTGGTGTTCACAAAAACAAAAAGTGGTTGCGTTATCTTTTTGTGAAGCAGAGTACATCGCTGCATGTGCAGCAACGTGTCAAGGAGTGTGGCTGGGACGACTATTGGCATATTTGTTAAAAACTGAAGTTAAGAAAGTAGTTCTGAAGATTGATAATCAGTCTGCAATTGCATTAAGCAAGAATTCAGTTTACCATGAGAGGAACAAACATATCGATACTCGATTCCACTACATTAGAGATTGTGTTGAATCTAAAATGATTGAAATTCAACATGTTTGCACAGAAGATCAGCGTGTTGATATTCTGACAAAGTCACTGTTCTTGGAGATGAGAGAAAAAATTGGTGTGCGAATCGTCAGCGAATGACAACAAGCTTAAGGAGGAGATTGTTTGAGTTAATCTAGTTGTCTAGAAATTGTTTATGTTATTTTTGCACATTTTTCATGTGGATTGGGCGGTTATGAAAACCATTTTGTGGTTAGGCGGTTAGGAAAATCGTTAAGTGGTTAGTTAGTTTTATTTTCAGAAAAATTTGATGTGTAGTTATATGTATTTGCTTATATATTTAAAAAAACCAGAAAATGTAGTGTGTGTTAAAGTACTAAAAATTCCTCCATTTTTGTTGGCATTTAAAGTTTGGCTTTGAAAACCAACATTTATGTTGTGTTTGAGACATTAGACAAAAGAATATCAAGGAGACTCTCCTTTCTGAACGCTGTAGTGTTGGAATCGAGGAACGACTTGATGAGAGATGTTATTTTTCATCAGATATAATAGTTTGGACGATTTAAACATTAACAGATAATTTTATATGTGAAATGTATCATTTGAAGAGTTTTGGGTGCTGCACATGAAATCCCCTTTTTTTCATCTTAAGACCAACCACACATAAAAAAAAAAAAAAAAAAATGTGTGAAGTTTTTGTTAAACTTTACCCAACCTAAACCCTATCCAAATTATAAACATCTCTATCATCTTCACCCGAAAAAAAAAGTAAAGCCATTTAAACAACCAGCCATCCAATACATGAACATGAAAAATTATTCCATACGGACACCATATGCAGAGATATACTGTCTCCGTCAAGCAATTTTTTTTTCAAAAAATCAAAGTAGGGCTTAGTCATACATCTTTGTTGTGACGGACGGTAAAGATCGACAATATGAAATACTTTTTTTCATGAACAGAGCACTTTAAAACTTAATTATGAACCACTCCACATCACAACGGCCACCGCCGCAACCGCAGCAGCCACACCCCGAACGGCCCCAACTGCATCACCAGCGCTGGAATTAACAGACTTGTCGTGCCGACCAACATCGATCATGATCTCGAATCTGCACGCTCCCTGAGACGGATCCGAGCGCGTAATTACCGAAAGATTCCCGAACTCGCATGCCCCCTTCTGCTGATCCGCCGTCTGATAAAATTGGTTCATGGCATAGGAAACGTTCCCCCGCGCGTCGAGATCCCCGCACGAAGATCCCCGTCCGAGGCTCGTGCAGTCCGCGTACTCGCACGCGTATGCCACGCTTCCTTCTAGCTGCGGATCCGTCAAGCTCGCCTCCCGTGACATCACGCACCACTGCGGCTCCATGTACCTGTTCATTTTACATAAATGATTTTTGGGTCATGTACAATATCTACCAATTCAAATATAGTTGCCATGTGCTTTTATTTTAGCTCCAGAAATCCTTTATGATCGGTTCAAAGCCAAGAAATAATGTGCATGTCAAAAGTGAATTAAACTGTAAATCCTGAATTAAATTTAAATATCATTAAATTTGAAAAAATATTTGATTCAATTAAAATTAAACTTTCATTTGAGTTGTTTGGTATAAACCTATTTGAAATAATTCTTTTGTTATGCTTAATCCATTAAATTCAGCTAATAGGTGAAATTAATAAATTGAAATTTAATTAATGGAACAAGCAAATATTATATTTAACTTAATGACAGATTTATCTAGCATATTTATGGTGTTTGACTGAATTTAAGTTAAATCTAACTTAAATACTGTTAAAAGTATCGTACCAAACACCATCTATGATAATGTTTGGCTAACACCTGACTTTGATTCAAGTCAAATAAAATTTATCAAATCTGATATGTTCAGATTTATTAAATTCAATTGCTACAAGTAGTTTGTGAATGACGTTTTCATAATGAGATTTATTAAATTTGAATTTATGTTATAAAATATGGATAAGAAAAAAAATGAAATTTAGATCATGACTAAATTTAATTTTTTTTTATAGTATTTAGATGAATTTAGATCATGACTAAATCCTGTTAACAAATATCTACCAAACACTGCAGAAAATATGTCTAAATTGACAACAAATTATGGCACCTGACTCCCTTGGCAGGCACAAGGCTGCTCCCATCAGCAAGCACAAGCGGATACTTCACCGAACCATCATAGTAGAACAGGCCCCAATGCCTCTCAAAGTTTCCCGGCTGCACACTCTTGGCATCCTCATCAATAAGCGCGAATACATAAATGTCAGGCGGCGCGGGCCGCTTTGGCGTTCCCATGCGCTTTGCGATGCGATCCAACAGTCCCTGGTTGAACCGCCTCGCGTTGTCCAGATTAGCATTAGGATCACCATCGGTTGGCCACCCAATCTCCCCAACTATGACAGGCATGTCCGAGAACCCATTGCGCTCCAACGCCCAAATCAGCGTATCGTAGTTAGCATCGAAGACGTTGGTGTATGTGATGGGGCCGTCGACTAGGGGCTTAGCGGCGCCGTTGAAGAAGGCGTAGTCGACCGGGAAGTGGGGGTCGGCGTAGAGGCTGAGGAAGGGGTAGATGTTGATGGTGAGCGGGGAGGCGTTGTCGCGTAGGAAGCGGATGATGGAGAGCATTACGTCGTGGATGTCGTGGCGGAAGTCGCCTCCGGATGGGAGGCCGTTGGAGGATTGGTAGACGTCGGCGTTGAGGGGGATGGTGGCTTTCACTTGGCGGCCGAGCCCGGCTTTGATAAGAGCGGCCTGGATGTTCTGGAGGGCCAGGAAGGTGGTTTGTTGGAACATGCCCATGTAGGTTTTGAGGAATGGCTCGTTGCCTACCGCCACGTACCTGGATGAGGAAGAGAAAACACGGCCTTTTCGTATGTCAAATTTTGTTCTTGGCATGGATACGAAGACATGTGACTAATTAAGATGATAATATTATTGGAAATCGATGGGATGCATGAAATGGTGCATGTTTGATTTAATATTATAATATTTGAAAATGACAAAGTTAAAATCGAATTTAAGATTCGATGATATCAGCAAGTCCAAACTGATGGCAATTTTGATAACTCAGCTTTATCTTAAAGAATACATAATATAAAAAGTTTGATAATAGCTTATTTTAGTTATTACATATCTAGGTAACGGTTTGACTGAATCATTAGAATTACATTTTTACTTGGGCAGTTTATGAATCTGTGTAAGTTGTCCACCGAATTTGACGTGTGTCAGGCTTATTTGGGTTATGACTAGACAAAATAGGCTTTGGCGGGCTTGAGACCAGATTCTATTTATAATGTCATGGCCAAACCTGCTCACCGAATGAGTCGGGCTGGCCCGCAGGCCGCTATCCTAAAAAAAAGTTCTTTTTTATACCAAAAAAATAAATAAATAAAAAGATCTTTAACACGTTCTTTCAAATCATATTGTTGATTTGCAATATTAAAAAAAGATGTAATATGAATGTTGTTTGAAAAAATTTGTGAGAATTTTAAATTGAATTTATATGTAATAATTTAATATCAAATGTTCACACACGAAATATGTATGATTTTTAATTAAAAAAAGTTGAAAAAATACCCATAAAAAAGATTTATGTCATATTAGTCCTCAATTTCTATTTAGTTACATATCTAATACATAACTTTAATTTTTACATATTTGATATTTTATATATGCATAAAAGTTATATTTCATTTAAGAAAAAAATTAAAAGTAATAATTTTTATATGATATAAGAGATGTTGTTGGCATTAATATTAAAAATCAAAATATATAACTAAAAAAAGAATAGAAAAGATGAAAAAAATTAATCTTCTCAAAAGTTTGTAATTGAAAAAAATGTTTATAAGGCTGGGCCAATGAGCATATTGCGCTTGATGCGAATTAGGCTTATTCAGGCTTTCTATTCTAAGTGTTTCAAACCGGGGCCCCCTTCCCTCTCGGCATGCGGTGTCCGATCCTGACCGTAGATCACGGTGATCTACGATCAGGATATATTTGAGTTTTTTTTTTTTTAATTTAGGTCCGTATAGAATAATTTTTCATTATGGCGAGCTAGTCGGCCCATCTGGCCATCTGGCCATCTGGCCATCTGCCAAATGCCAAGTCTAGCAGTAACTAACGAAGCACGGGTATACCACACCTGATATCGACACCATTCTTGGATATATATTTGGACACGTTCTGCAACACCCATTGCTCCGCAGCCCGAACGCTCGCGGCGAGCGGCGCGAGCAACTCGTTAGGGATCCCGATCATGACCTGAATATTAGAGCGACCGAGGGCCTGAAGAGCAAAGGGATCTGCCTCAAACAGCTTCACCTTATCGAATCCATTGTCTTTAAGCAGCCGCACAACGATGTCGGCCGGAAGGGGATGCGACGACTGCGTCCCCCAATTGCTACCCAAAGCTTCCCCTCTCCTCATTTGAAGCGCAGCAATTGATAAAAACAGCAGCAGCGGGCCGTTGCCTAGTCTTTTCGCCATTCTTCCGCTTACAAGAAATGGTGGATTATGTGATGAAGTTAAGTGGGTTAAAAATGGGGGGGGAAGGTGTTTGAAGCAGGAAGGGATGGCATTCCGGGCGAGGATTGATAGAGGAATTGGATTCCTTCAGAGAAAACCCGTGGCGATGGGCTGCAAGTTGTCCTGAGCGGACGCCGTCGGCTTTAGGAAGATCAAAAAGTTGCGGCCTTTGGGGGGAGAAAGTGGAAGAAAAAGGAATAAACTTTTCATTCTATTTCTTGGAAAGAGAAATGAACTGCAGATTCCAAGCGTCAAAACATAACACTGAGCTTAAAAGGGGCATTAAAACTTAAAATTCCTTTTGTAGTTTGGCTTGGAACCAGACAAATTTAGTCGTATTCTAGTCGCCTTTAAATTGAAATAGAACTTGTTAACGAGCTTGCATTTAGCTCAATTTTTTGTGTTCTACTCAATTTGACCGAGTAATTTAATATAAAAAAAAACTATGATTGAGCATTTGTTACAACAAAATACTAGAAATGCTAATTAATAAAAAAAGCATTCAATATTTGAAAGAGATATATAACTTGTACATATTTTTAATGACTCATGAATAACTAAAATTTTACTAGTACTTGTTGTAGTTTATAATTGGACTCCTTCAAGATAGCTTAGCCAAGCTAAAATTATGACACTATAAGAATAATGACATTTTCTGAATGCCAAATTACGTCACTTTAGATGAAAAATACCATTGTTTTAACTGTTTTCCAACGGTGCATCGACAACTTGAAGCTCGTAAGTAAAATATTTGTCAATAATGTCCAAACTGTCGGATATTTCAACGACATGAAATTATTGATGTATAACCAATAGTTTAATGTCGTAGTTTTTTTTTTGAGAGAATTCAAATCCGTGAGTTTTTGTCTATAATAGTGACAGCTTATTTGTCAGAAAAATCTCATGCTCATTGGTTTTATAAGGGAGGGAAACCGTCGATTATGTGTCGTTGATGCGTGGTTTTTTGAACCGACGAATGAACTATAGGAAAGTATCACGCCTGTTATTTTCGTTTGGTGCACATAAGCCGTAAGTTCGGAGTTGGTTAGGCGTGGATAAATAAGTCCATCAACTAGCAACGGTTTTGCCTATGAATATGTTAAAATCAGTCACAAAATTGACGATAAACATAGAAAACTGGCAACATCTGCAAAAAGAAAGAAAGATTCTCCCTTTTGTATTTAAATTACTACACATATCACAACATTTGATAGCCTATTCCAAGCATTTAACGAACTTGAATAGTAGTCAGACAGTAAATTATCAAATTAAATAATGAAATATATATACATCTAAAATATATACATCACTGTTCACTCAAGTGAATTACACCATAAACAAAATTATCATATAACTAAAATACATACATCACGTTCACAGAAAAAATATATGTACAAACATACAACATAATCATAAAAAAAATTACCCCCTAATCATTCTCCACTATATCTTCATCGTCATCATCATCGTCCTCCACCGCTTTCTCCTCCTTCAATGCAGTCGCTGCATTGCTAAATCCCTCATCTGCTGTCGGAAGCAATCTAACTCAACTTTCAACTTGGCCTCCATGTTGGCCTCTAGCGGTCATCCACTCTACGAGAATGTGACAACAATCCTGAAGATATGATAATCCTGTGAGTAAAGCTAGAAGCTATAAGTGCACTAGAGGAGGGGTGAGCCTCATATTCAAACCCTTGCACCCGAGCCCGTAGACTCAACCCTTCTTCGTCCCTCCAACAACCTCACTCCACAGGTTGTACTTGGAAGGATCACATTTGCAGATTGTAATACCTCTCGACGCCCAAGATTGGCTCTCCTTCTGTTGTTGGAATCTATCATTCAAAAAAATACTTACATTTAGTTTGAGTTAGCATGTAATAACATCATACTAGTTTATCTAGTGAATTACCTTGGTCGCATGAGATTTGTCGTCGATCCAAAACTAGTCAAACTGCCTCCTATGGGTGCGCTCATGGACATCGGCGGTGGAGTGCTCTTGTCTAATTTCCACGGTCCATCCATATAACGAGATAGTTAGAATACATCTTCTAACTATTAAAAAAATTTAAAGGAGGACTGAAATCTTGTCAGGCTTCGCTTGTATTTCATATGTGGGAGCGCATCATCAGTGTGTATAGAGGGCCTCATACCTCCACAATCCTTTAATTTGTTCTACTTTGCCTGCTCCCTCTAATTGTCCGGGGAATCTCAAGCCCTTAGTAGCATGGAATAAAACATCCTCTCCAAGCCACAGAGGAGTCTGTTGCGATTTCCGAATATTGTCAAACATATCCCGAAGGTGATTGCTGCTATTGTGCTTGAAGTTGTATCAGATGTACTCCTCATCCTTTGAGCGGGGGGAGAATTATTTATGCAAAATTTTAGGGATTATGTTCATTTGATAAATAAATAAAAATAACTTAAGATATTTGTGAATGATACAAACCGTAAACTCATGAACCAAAGATACCCCGACACTACTTATCTTATATTAATAACCCAACACTCAAGAGTATGTGCTTTGGATAAAGTGTTTAAACCCTTGTGAGCAACTAGGGATATTTGATATGGCCACATATGGATCATCAGACTGATGTAAGTCTGAGGTTAAGGTGGTAAGGGCGATGACGACATTGTTTATGTGTGCGCTAAACGAGGGATACAAAGTGAGATTTTAGAATAGTATCTTCTACCCAAAGAAATATTCAGGAAAGGGGATAGGACTGATGATACTATTCACCAACACTTGGTAAGAAATTACCCCCTTACACTCGTAGGTTGTAGGTATTTTTAGTTCGATTAGAATGATTAAATCGTGGACAAAATAAATTTTCCAAACATATTTAAATGTATTTAAAATATGATTTTCTTAAAATATCACTGCTTTTGACTACTAAACAAAGTATTATATGCATGAAAAAGTAAAAGAGTTTTAAATACAAAATTATGAAAGTTCACTAATTAATCATCTTGATTAAGCTAGAACATGCTTTACTGAGATTGTTTGGCCGATAGATTCTGTCCAAGGTTGGAAGTGCACAACCCAGCTCTACACTCAGCCTCGATCTTTCATATGTGGCTACAGGTTTTATTTTTCTTGCTCATGTTTTTCTATGATTTGATTTCTTCGTACTGGGTTTTTCATGCTCTTCTTGTTTTCTTTTTCTCGCAATTTACTCATGTTTTTCTATGATTTGATTTCTTCGTACTGGTTTTTCATGCTCTTCTTGTTTTCTTTTTCTCGCTTAAAATTCATGTAACTATGCTATGCTTTATGATACTAACCATGCAGTGGTAGCAGAGGCCTAGATATGCACATTTATATATTTATAACAATTTTTACTACAACAATTTCTTTTACTGCCCTTCACCTTTACATTTATTTAAGTAATTGCAAGACCTTCAAGATAGAGAATAGTAGCAGTTTTCCAAGGGTGGATCACTATAAAACCCGAACACATACCTTTTAATTAATTGGATTAATAATAATTGAAAGAAAAACATAAGACATAGAATACTAAACCCAAAGCAGCTACCAACAAGGAGCTTGGAGCAAATCAGAGCAGATGGAAGACGACGATCTACTACGACAAAGCAGACCTACACCAACTAAACTTTTCCTAGAATTAAACAACAAACCATAGGATTTTGAGGTAACATGTCCAACATGACGTAACTCCTCTTTTTATCTTTAGGCCTTTGCACAACCATGTTGCACAATATAAGCCCTAATTTGCTTTAAGCTCTGAGGTTGTCATTCATTATAAATTAAACCCTCATATCTTTCAGGATATTTGTATGACCACGTCATGAAAATGTAAGCGTAAAATAATAAAATTATCAGGATGAAACATCAAAATAAATATATTTTCCAAAATTTAAGCCAAACAATAGGAAAGTTAAGGAAGTCACCGGGTTCTGCTCAGGATCCGTGACCTCCCATATTTTTCTCCTCTTTGGATTTGAAAATAACTGTTCGTGTTTGGTCCATTCCCACTTGAGTTATCACGTCTGATCTTGAAACCCTAAATTTTAAAATTCTAGGAGACAAATACCATTGATCTAAATTGAGAGTCTTCTCAGGTGACTTCAATCATTTGAGATGTAATTAACTATAGGCGTTTGCCTCTATAAGGAGCTTTAGAGCCCAGGTAACATAAACTCTATCTAGTTTTTTATATTAAATAAGGGAACTTGTTAGTCAATATAAAAAATTTCATAGACCAAACATATGTCATAAATTTATTAGTTTATTTAATCGAGCATCACTATCAAGTAATGTGCCTATTCTTAGGGATAAGTGCGTTGCTTACAGTGTTGTGCTCGTTTATTTAAACTAATAAATAAATGAGATCTTGTTAGTCTCATTTTTTCAAAATAAAAAAATTTTATATTTCAAAAATTAAATGTTATTTTCAAAAATCAAAATTATATATATATTTACATTAGATTAAATCCAAGGCAAATCTTCAGGAAAGGAGAATCTGACGACCGTCATACGTGTAACAGTTGGGGGTGTCAGGACAACAGTGAGAGTACGATTGAGGCTAAGGGTGGGGGCAGAGCGTGGGCATGAGTGTGGGTGGAGGTGGGGTTTGAGGCGGTTACGAGGGTGGTGTTCAAGGTAAGAGAAGTCGGGCGACCTCTCATTACATGCTACTTCATCAGATACCACTGTGCTCCACCCTCCCCCTCTAATTAAGAAGGGAGATCGTTCCTGCCTCTAGTCAACCTCTGCAACAAAGAGAATAAATTTTATTTATTAGTGCACATAATAAACTAAAAAAAAAATAATACGTAATAAACATAAATCATATAAGTATGCAGTAGACATATAAAAAAAATATAAATTGTAAGGTATAACTACTAAAATTGAAAATACAAAAGCACATAATAAAATGATATATGAAATTCAATGAAAGTATACTATATAGACTCAAGAGATTAAAGCTTTCGATATTTAAATTAACATACTCATCTTACTTAGCATCATCTAAAGAGTGATTAGGGGATGTATTAATGATCTCTTCTTCAATCGCATAGCCAGAGTTGTACTCATCACTAAGATTAATTTCTTTATATTTATTGCTAACAACCTCTAGATTGAGCTCTTCATCAATTGCATCAAGTTAAAAATAGAAACTTATCATTTCAGTTTCTTAATGGACGGGTTCAATGTTATTCTAAAGAGTGACAAGTTGGAGTCCGTAGAAATTGATTTTGGATTTTATTTTGATTTTTATTCAATTTTTTT